GTAATCGGCTAGATAGATAGATAGATAGATAGATAGATAGATAGATAGATAGATAGATAGATAGATAGATAGATAGATAGATAGATAGATAGATAGATAGATAGATAGATGTTAAATGCGCTTGCAGTACGCAAAGAAATGCTTCGCATTTAAAAAGGTCTAAAAGCTTGCGCTAAGCCGCGCAAAGCTCAAAACAGCTGATCAGTCGCATGTTCATAGCCAAAACTTGGCTGTAGTGAGGTTAAGTTTGGCTCGAACTTGGCTCTAGCTAAATTGTAGCAAATTTGGTCTCCATCTTTGCGTTGTAGTCCTCGGACACCACCCGCGGTGCTCGACTTTTTGACAAGCACTGCGATGTTATGACGATAGATGAAACATCGAATTTCCTCGATATGCACTAAAGGGAACTCTGGTGCACTATCTATGGGAGCTGCAACGCATGGCGCTTCAGCGAGCATGGGAATTATGGGTATGACATCGATTTGCCTATAGTTGTCGTACTCTACGTTCGTTCTGGCTTCGCGTGGCTTGAAGCTGCTTTGTCACGAAACAACAACCGGCAAATGTTCGGCAGTTACGCTTCACCACCTTAATCTTTTTAGACTCACCTATTCAAATCGGGTCACGAATTTAAAAAAAAAACGATTCGTTATTTCCTTTGAAACAAAACCGAAACACAGCAATAAACGAAGCCACCAAGTGTCATCCGGGTCCCGCAAGTACGAAGACTAGGCAAATCCATGTCATACCCATAATTCCCATGGTCGCCGAACGATCGCAGCGCCATAGTTCTCCTCCGGTTAATTTTAGGAAACTCTATTGGATGAAATGCTTCACAGCCGTTTGTTGGGCTGAGTGTAGCCTTCTTCATTCGAGTGGACCAGTGATGAGTACTGGGACTTCACCGAATTGTTGAGGTGAATAACCGTTTATGATGATTCGTGATAAAAGATGCAAGGAAAGATTGACTAAACAGCTTAGCCGTTAAAATAAAGCATCCGTCATGGTTTATGCCAATGGAGGACTGCATGACTTGTACGATATTTGCATGCATGCTAATTAAAAACATACATTCAATTTTTTCTGCGAATTTGCAACGCTGAAGCTAGCGTTTACTGAAGCCAGATACTATATGTCAAGGAGAAGTACCTAACCTTGTTAGTACACGGACTTTTTATCTCGATCGTTATCTAATGGGCCATGAAGTGCGCTAGCGTTTTTCCTATTGATTTTTGCACACAACTGTCTTGGCGAAAATGTGGGACAAGGCTGGCCGGGAAACCAAGGAAATTAGTTGGTGACCTAATTCAACGAATCACCAACTTAAACTACAGTGCTATAATCAGAACTCGTACTTAGTAGTTTGCAATGATTTCCAGCGCTGATTTGCTAGGGTTCCAAGCGTCACATTACTAAGTTTAGAAAGACATCGCAATAAGTAACTACCGTATCCGCCATTAACTTTTGCCTCGTGTTTTAAGCCACTGAACGGAATTTCGGTGGGCGGAAATTTTTGTTTGATGTCACCTGCTCTACATTGCTTAAAAACGAAGCAGTCGTTTTTGAGGCTCTCGAAACGATAGTCTTCTATATGGCGAGGACGTGAACTAACGGCCACAGAAGGCACACCACACGTAAAAGCGTTGGTGTGTTTGTGATGTCGCTTCCATAGCCATTTGTTTGCGCTGTTATATTACGCTTAAACTTGGGAAGCAACTCATGTTGCAGGAGTTATTGTGGCACAGAGTTCTTTAACAACGAAATCTTACTGGTGCGCTTGGAGAAGACGCCAGCACTGAAAACTTGTTGTCCTTCGCTGATCGTTCCTGCGCGACGACTCGTTCGGAATGCTTTGACGTTTGCCGTTTCATTTTTACAGCTTGAGCGAGGCGTACGAGATCATCCGTGCAACGAAATCCACGAGATTTGGATAAGGAAGCCGTCCGCGTGTCAAGGAACACCGAGACGGCCTTGCATGCTAGACGCGAAGTTCCGGCTCCAGATCAAGGTGACCCCCCATGTGTAACGCCATTGCACGCATTCTCGTGTCAGAAGCCGTTATCGATCCGCTTCGATGACGCGATTGCCGTCGGAGCGCCGCTGCTTTGGTTACACAATAGCGTTTCTTCACTGACATGATTTCCCCCTTTCTTTAATCTGAACGCATTGCGGGAGTGGAATGACAAACGGCGAGATGTGATGAGAACAAAATTTACGTCACCGCTGTTGCGGCCCTGGTTCAAAGACCAGAAGAAAAGGCTCTAAATGCAGTGAGAAGGTGAACAATTTTATACACCATGGTACTTGAAGAAAATAACCGTGTTACATAAAAAAAAAAACCAAGAAGACATGTGCTTCAAGCATTTCGCCTACGTTCCCGTACTAAAACGTTTTCTGCTTATTTTGTGTTTCCCAGAGCAGCAAACAACTGGAACAGCCTTTCACGCGATATCGCTGCAATCCCCTGTTCATCAAGCTTCATTCATAGTATTTCAAATGTAACTTCACATTGATCATTGTGAGAATAATATTTATTGTATGTTAACCCACCCCTCATGTAATACCCTCTCAGGAGTCTTTAATAAATGAATGAATGAATGAATGAATGAATGGATGAAAAAACAAAGACCAGCGACCTTACGCCCTTATGAGACGAGAGGAGAATTAGTCGTAGCTAATGATTGATGATAGAAGGCTGGATGCAGGAAAGCTTTGTAACCTCTACAGGATTAACTTGCCGACTCTTTCAGCAGCTAATAAAAACTGGCTAGATGTCATGGCATGTCATTGATCACGTATCAGGTGTCATGGGCATCAGCTTCTGTGAGATCCCACTGTACCTATAGCTGTTAGAACGCTCGCATAATATACTCGTATACTACTTTGCTGCGGACAAGAGCCTTTAGGAAAACTGGATTTCAATATTCCACAAA